AAAAAAAGCATTAAAGAGGCCCATATTATTAAACGGGCCACCACATTATCAGCCGCTGCTGTCAGGACCCGAGAGTGGAACTTTGCCTGAACGACAGGCTTGTGCTTTACAAGCCTCCAGGATGGGAGGTCCATGATGGCTTTGTGCCTAATCAGAGACTCGTCTGCGATGATCCCATAGTCGCCATAGCCCATAAGTCCTGCTGTGAAAATGCTTGCCGCAGCCTCTCCTCTCTGAGGTTGCGCCGATTCCTTCAGGAGCAGGTCGGTCCGCTGCCGCTAGCATATGCCTCTCGGAAGCGCAGTGGGTCCCGAGCCGGAGCTCGCGATGCCCTTCAGCTTAGGATCAGACCCACAGCTTTGGCTTTCTCCACCGTCTGGATGTGCCCAGTAGTGGTCTCGTGTTGGCGGCGAAGACATACGAGGCTCGCCGGGTCTTGCGGGGTGTAGCTGGTGGTGTCTGCCGAGGGTCGAACTTTGCATTAGCCTCTCATGGCAGGCTGTAGAATTCGTTGACTGCAGTTGAGCACCCGTGCACCAAACCGGCTTCGCTTGCGCCTGCTTTATACTGTCTGCTTATGGTCGTTGCGCCTGTCTGTTGACTCGATGCGATGGTGTTTTGCCTCTGCCTTTATCACATCAACCCAAATCTATCGCCACACAGCTGCCGCCTTTTTCTCTGTAATCCTATCTATAATCCGGCCATGAAGCCCGATGACAACAGCAGAAATGTCTCGCTAGCGGGCGAGAGGTTGAAGATCGAGTTGCCGGTGTGCGGTTTGCCCATGTTCTCAGATTCAGTGTGCGGAATGTGTCGCAGCTTAGATCCGTTGGAAGGCATTCTACGAGATGCAGGTGCAGCTAGCAGCCGGACTGATTCGACGCAAGTACCTAGCGATGGCTCACGGCTGGATGCCGTGTAGCAGGGAGGTTTTGGCTTCCGTGTCGTGGGGAGGTGGCCATCCGACTCGATCAGGCGCAGCTCGTTGGATCTGTCTAGAACGCAGGGCTTGGGCTTGGGTTGTGGCAGGCGCCAGCGGTAAGGCGAGCAAGACGTGGTTTCATGTCCTCGCCCGGAATGCGGCCGCGACGCATGCGTTGAGCCTTCTTTCGGTGCAGATCTTCACAGGCCGGGGCAGAGCGCGGATTCTGGTTGCAACATGTTGTGGGCCTGGGTAGGTCGGCGCCACCAGATCCGAAGCCACCTGGCGCACATCGGGCATCCACTAGCCCGAGATGAGCTTTATGCATCAATGGCTACGCTGAGTGCAGATCTACGGCTCCGCACACGAACGTGCTTGCACCGCTTCAGCTTGTCCTTCAAGGGTTCCACTGGCGATAACCACGATGTCGTGGCGCAGTGCCCTGCGGACTTGCTCAATTTTTTGTTGGGGATTTTCGATGCACGGGACTTTCCGACTGAGCTGCAGCATCTTGTCCGTCGGCAGGGGTAAAAGAACGGGTCAGGGTACAACTTCGGGGTGTGCCATGACAACTTGCAAGAAGGGCGTGAGAAGTGGATGTGCTAGGAGATGGCCGCGCGACTTCAGAACAGCCCTGCGGCAGCGGCTGTGCAAACACAAGGCTCCAAGCTGGAAGAAGTGGGAAGGTTTGGGAAGTGCTCGGCTGAAGGGGACGTATTTAGCAGGATGAGAAGACTTAACAGTGGCTGAACATGCTCAAGAGGGTAGCGACGAGATACCAGCACTTCTGTCCGTGTTGCAGGTGGGATCTCTCTTCCAAGCCCGCAGGAGCTGCAGCACTTCGCCGAAAGCTCAGTCGGTTCACCCATGCCCGCTCAGCCCCACAGAGGCAGAGTGTTCTGCGTGCAGTTTGCTCATAGACTCCAAGCTGCTACTGCAGCAGATCCCGGCCCGGGCACGGGGCCCCAAATCTTTCTGAACAGAAGGAAACTTAAAGCCGGTCCGCCTATGCCCCACTGCCCGCTGTGTAGAATTCTGGAAGTGCGAACGGTTCGCATGACCGTTTGGGACCGCACGCAAAAAACACGAAGGTCCTGAACTTCGGGAATGTGGCGGGTGTCGCGAGGGAAGTGAGTGTGGTGGCTCGAGTTTTTTTTTGGGGGGGGATTCATAAGTGCAATCTCGCCAGGAGTGTCCGAGCGTGCGAGAACCCAGCATCGATCCCGGCGCTAAGTTGCAAAGGCTTCCTAGGTAATTGAGTTGTCAAAGGCAGGTTTGTAGGCAGGAGACATTGGGGAAACACAGCTGAGGGCCTTCGAGGAAAACATGAAGAAGCTTGAAGCAGAGGAGAGAGAAGTCGACTTCGTGCAGCATCAGAGAGACCCTTGACCTTGCTGTCTCCTTCTCAACACTTCCGAAATGCTGTGCAGTCGGACTGGCGTAACAGGCTTTCATGTTCGTGCGAAGAAGCTGACAGAGCAGCCAAAGAGTTAGAGCGTAACCCGTCATCCGTGACTCACACAACTTGAAGGAAAGAGTCAGAGAGTGTGCCCATGCATACCTACACATGGTAGTTGATCTAAAGCTCCTTGTGGCATAATTTATATAGATAAATATGCCTTCGCGAAAGATCCGCGATGGTACCGCGAAAGTTATTTTTTCTGCGAAAGTTATCTGTGTAGCCTACTTGCATCATTGTTATTACTCGTACTGCTACTACTTCTATTACTACTACTACT